GTATTTTAATGATACTCTCAAAGACATGGTGTGACCCTTGGGGATGGTCATGTGCAGGGCTAAGAGCTGAACTTGATGATCCTTGTGGGTCCCTTACAACTCGGCGTATTTTTTGATTTTGTGATTATTACCTGTTTTCTGTGACAGAGAAGACCATCATTACCCTCAGTAGTCCACATCCAGAAATGTTTCTCAAGAGCAAGCACATTTTATTGGATGAGGCTGTCTTGGGTCAACTTTTGAACTTTGTTTCTCCTCAGGAATATCATCTTCCTTGAAAATTCTCTAGCAGACAGAAAAGTGCTCCACTTTAGCAAGCACTGCTTTCAGGAAGGGATAGTACTGATTGCCCCTCTAAGAACTTGCAAACACAAAAAACACCCAGAGTTCTTTGAAGGAACTACCTCGAAAGGTAGCAGCACAGCAAGGACTGTTTTTATGTTGTCATAAAATGTCAAATAGCAAGTCTGGCAAATGCATCTGGTCTCAGTTTAAGACACTGTCATACTGTATGTGGGACTGGAAATGTGTTATTCATATGAGAAACTTTACGGAAGTTGGTTCGAAATCAGCAAGATCAGTGGTTAGAATTAATCAACTTGCACAAAGCAGGGAGTCAAGAAGTGACATGGAATAGGCATAAAGGTATATGAAAAGGGTACTAAAAAGTTTTACTTGCTGTAATAAAATGTCCCCTGATATTTAAACTTTTGATGCAATAGTAAAGCAAAATGCAGCTTTACTGAAAGTAAAGATTTTCTTTGCATACAGCATTAATTCTACTGAGTGCATTTGAGAAGCTATGCATTATTTCCTTGCTAGCACTAAAAGTAAACAACTTAAAGCCCTCAGGCTTTACTGTCCTGAAGCATGAAACTGGAATAAATAGCACGTAAGATTGCTGTGCACTACTTTTATGGTCAACACTGTGTCTACTCATTCAAACATTTGGCACGATTTCTTTCTGTCCTGTCCAACATCTGTTCACTTATTTCTGCCCTCACCATGCTTTCTTCACATAATTGTGACCTGGGTTTTTTCCTTTTTTCATGGTGCAAAAGCCACTCTGTATTCCAAAGTTTTAACAAATTAAACAGAGTGGAGCTGCCAGTTATCTTTCAATCTCAGTTCTGTGCAGACAAACCAAATCACCTGAGAGCAGTGGCTATCTAGAGCATCGCAAGATCAGTGCCCTTTCCAGTTCAGTAACAGCGAACCTTTTTAATGACATGATCTAATTTCTGCTGAAGGATTTAACCCAGAACAAATTGTTCTCTTGTAGTAAATGAAGGAATACTTACACCAGACTGTACATAGCATAGCTGTTGCTGTATCAGTAAAGCAGTGCCTTCTGAAAGTACAACACTATATTCATAATATTCACATATTTCAGTATTGGAATGAGCTGTACAAATGCCTGTATTTTTACAGTGAAGTGTCAGGCCACTCTTGGAGCCTTCTACAATTTTGACAGCACCTAATCATACAGCACAACTTTGGTGCATAAAGGAGCTCCAAGATGCAGTAGAGAGTTAAAGCAGACAATGAAGAAGCAATGCTGAAATACTAGTGCTTTTGGTTGTTTAAGTCACAGACCATAAAGCAAATGTACAACATTGTTGGGCAGGGGTAGCTCATACAGATAGGTATTTTTGGGCTCCATCCTCATGCAAGCCCTCTGCTTTTAGCACATTCGAGAAACACCTCCTATTCGTCCTGGGATAAGATTTTTTTTAAGAAGCATAACCCAAATTTCATAGCTGTGGAGGACAGATGGCAGCAAACTCTTTTGTTTCCAAGCCACATCTGGCTCTCATTTGCATCTGTCTGGGCTGTCTTGATGTTGTCTGCCTCACTAGACTGTCTCGTACTCAGGAGCTGTGCCCAGGCGACCAGCACAGCCCTACCTATTGTGCCCTACCTACCCTTGGTCTCATCATGTGTCCCAGAGCCTTCCCTACATGTTTCTGATGAAAATGCCCTGGGAAATGTTTGCTCAAAGCAGGTGAGAGATTCTTCCACCCCTGCCCGCTGCTTCAGCACTATGCCAGTCATCTGGCATGGGAGAAAATGTTTCCTGCATGTTTGACCAACACCCCCTGATGTGGACCTGCCTGTTAGCCTGTTGTATTTGCAGTGAGTGTATAAATATGCACAAGCTCAACAGCTTGCCAGATAGACTCTCTGCATTATAAGAAATGCTTCTTATATGGGTTTCCATTTCCTGGCCTTCTTGTCTAAATTCCTTGGTATAGTATTTAACAAATGCCTTAAATTTCATCTTAAAAAGGAAAGTCAGAAACATCAAAGCTACCACTTTTCCTGTTTTATATAAAATATGCTGACATTTCACCCAAGAGGGAGGATTTTTAGTAGATCATAGCATTCTTGTTTCTAAATATGTCTTTTAAAAAATCCCATTGATATTTTCCAGTTTCAAATTCATGCTATTAATAGGTCAAAAAAAAAAAAAGAAGTTTCTACAAGAATGAAACCATGTGATATTGTAGCTTAAGTATTTCACATAAACAGAGACTAAAACAAAAGCTCAACAAAGTATTTTGTGTACAGCAGTTATACTGAAGGGACCAGCTTCTCCATGTGTGAGCATAGCACGAAGACTCTGTAAAAGCACATTGAAATACGCCTGGATTTTGTCTGTCCTCCTGTAGCAAATGAGGAGTGACTGCTAACTGAATGTCTTCAGTGCTGTCCAAGCAGCACTTCGTCAAAGGCTTTATTAGCACTACTGGAGCTATGTCTGAAACAGGTTTAAAACAGAGAAGACTGCCTTCATCTTCAGAGCGTAGTCTTTAGAAACTTGGGAGTTTTTTTCCAACTGAGTATCACTCCAGGTTGTAGATTCGAGACTACAGCTAAATATGATACATGCAGCAACATAATTCCTCATCCAACTGGTCCACATTTCAAAGAAAAGTCAGCCATTTGCAGAAGAGCAGTTAACCTTCACAAGGCTTTGCACTACATCTAGCCCAGCAGGTACCTGCTAAGCTGTGCTACTGAGACTTTTTAAATGCCAAAGCACAGGTTGTTAAATACTTAGCACCTTAAGAGCTGTAAATCCATCTTTGGCTCCCTCACTTTGCTTCTTGGTACATGTGATGACTTGGGAGTCCTCAATAGCACAGTGAGTCTGAATGAGCTGATGAAAATTCTATCCAGTAATCAGCTCATTTGAACACGAAAGCAAAGATGGCACAGAAAAATTTCACTACCAGCCCATGAAATGTGGCGGAAAACACTAACAGATGGTAATGCCAACAAAAGGAGTAGAAAACTGCAGAAGCTGTGGCTGGAGACAGCCATTCCTAATGTTTTGGGAACTAACACCTTGAAGGCCATGAGCAAAGCTGAGTTCAGCTAGGTAAAGAACGTCACCAGCACCAGCAGGTCCAACTGTTGAATGTGACTTCATGGGACAAGAGCATGACACCTTTTCTGTCATGCAGATGTCCTAATTTATATAGATATCACTTTAAATTCACCTAAAAGTCCTCTCATGCAGAGCACAGTTAAAGCCAGTGAAAGGTGGAGTAATTTATAAAGTATCATTTGCTTGTGTGTTTTGTGTTGCTTTCTGTCTGCTGTCTTACTAAAATCTAATTACCTGATGTCAAGTAGGTTATGGAGTGACAAGAATAGTTTGTGCGTAGATACTATGTCTATAAATACACTCAAAAACTAGCCAGAAAGCCTTGTCTGTCATGTCAAAAATCTTTCTATTTTGGGCAAGGTTGGAAGCCTGCTTTTGGTGGTAAATATTTTCCCTTTATACATAGATTGCTCAAGTCAAGTTCCATTCCAACAACAACATGGCATTGAAAGGACACGCATGCACGTTGGGATTGCCTCTGAAATCCAATTTCCTTGAACTGATGATTTCCTTATTAACTCCTCTTCACAGGAAAGGAACTGGTTCCTTGAACTAGCACTGACAATCACTTTGCAGATTCAAAACTAAGTCTCCCCTTTACTGATCAATGCAAGGGACATGTTTGGTTAGTCCCTTGGCTGACCTTTTTTTCCAACATCTCAGTTTTCTTTTTGCCAAGGGGCAAAGTCCTGCTTAGCTTTGGGCTCCTGATACAACAGGTGCTTGTCCTGTCTGCCAACTGATCTGCCACATTCCTCTGGTAGGATTTCTGCCAAACAGGGAACACAGATGTGCTATGTAAAGGATGGCTTCCAACCAGTGCACCTCCACTAGTGAACTCTCCTGAAAAGCTGCAGCTGGATTAAACATGCAGGGTGAGGTTGTAGACAAGTTTTTGGTGTAGAAAGCACAGCAAAACCCCCAGGAATAATTCTGTTGGATGAAGGCTATTGCTGCTTTCTACGACAGTGTTGCTGTGCCCTGGGATACCCATGGTTTCTGGAAGACTTTTGTTCATTTGTTTAATTTGCGTCTGCCTAAGAGGTGATGTGTGTGCTTATGTGTATGTATATCTGTGTCCATCTGTCTACCTGTAAATATATGGAGACACATCTGCTGTATAAATAAAAATTAACATCTTAGATTGATTTAATAGTAGAGTTATTTTATTCTCCATGAAACACAGTACAATTAGAGCACTGTGCTCTTTTGTTTTTGAAGCTTTAAGAAGTTTATGACTTTAGTCCTTCCAGCACATGCCTTATCATTCATGAGAGACTCACATTTTTGTTCAAAGATTTCATTTTTTGCAGGACTCACTAATTTGTGTGGTTTAAACAGTTGTTTTTATTAGAACTAAAAATAACTTTATGTTAAGGAAATAATGGTAAATAAAGTGTATACTGTAAAACTGACGGTCCTAAATCTGGAAGACCTGACATCTGGATAAACAATTAATAGACTGGTTGCTATCAACTGTCTAAAGCAGTAACCAGAAATTCAGTGGGGACAGTCTAATATTCAGAAGTGAAGGCAGATCCTTCTCAATATCCAGATGGTTTTTTGTACAATCTGATCCTAAGATATGGGGTTTTTTACCTTACAGTCAAAAGCTCTTCGGGAAAAATGGCTGCTACAGGGAATTCCTGCTGGCTCTGCAGAAGAGGAAGAAGCCAGAAGGAGGCAGTCAGAAGAGGATGAGCTGAAGGTGAAAAAGCTGGAAGAAAACATACACAGGTAGAGACAGTTGCCTTTAGCTTTGCCTAAGAACAGTCACTCTTGTTATGGCTGGGGGCTTTCCTTTCCTGGGTCCCCAACTCTGGCAGCAGCTGATGGCAGCCACCCAGGGAAGAGTGCAAGAGGCGGTCACAAGTACAGCCAAACATGCCCAAAATTTGTCTCCTAAATGTCCATGATTTGTAAGATAGAGCCATTGTGTTATCTTTGTGTTTAATCAACTTTTATGGATTACTTTCATGAGGAAGTTAAAAAGAGGCTGAGTTGCCTCTTCAGATACACATGTATGACTTGATCAACACTCGAGAGATTCTCCATTGCTTTACACCTCCTACAGCCAAAAGGAGTTCAAAGGGAGCAGCATTCTTTTGCACTCACTTTTCACTGGTGCAAATGACTTTTTGAAATGCCACAGCAGATGCCACCAACAGATCAAATACCTATTGCTTTCAGAAGCAAAGTTTGGGTGTTAGAATTATTCCCTTTTATCAGTTTACCATTGCAGTCTGAGTTGATATTTGTCCTCTTTTTTTGTGTTTCCCCTTGTTTTACCACAAACAATAAGCTCTAAACCTCAGAAGGAAAATGCTTTTATTCCTCACAGAAGAAATTCCAGAGCTGTTTCTACCATTTAGCTGATGTCAATTTAGAGTTTTTTGAACTGACAAAAGTTGGTAAAACCTGGCAACACAGCTTGTCATCTAAGGCATACAAGTGACAGAGAAAAAGCAAATAGGACCAGTCATCTAAGGGCTGTGGTATTAACCTAGAATCTGGTGAACTCAATTTGCCTTATGACAGGCTTCTTATGAATTTTTTTTAAAAAATCAGTGAGAATGTTTCTTTGGGGATGCACACAAGCAGATCCACCCTAAGCTTGGATGAGGCTAAATGACTTCTCTGTGGAAGTGGTAGATCGGCATGAATGTTAGAATTGCTTCATGCTACTGGTCTCTGACCTGTGATTGCTATTAATTGAAATTGATCTAAGAATACCTATTGTTCTTTTACATCTGTGGTAACATAAGGCAAGAAAGATTTTTTTTGATTTTCTATTCTACATGATATTTTACTTCATAAATTAATGTCATAGATGAAAAAATACATTGATCGTACTTCAGAAATAGGTACATAGTATGGAATGCTGCAAGGTGCTAAGTGTTCTGACCCCATTCAGCAAAACACATGAGATAGTGCCTAGTTTCAACTATAGGACTACCACCACTGATCACAATGAAACCTGCTTTGCTTAATTAGTCCAAAATGCAAGATGAACGACTGTGTAAAACCTTGTCCCTATGGTTTGCTTTTTTTCTTCCTTAAATGCAACCATGAAATCAAATGTTTGAATATTTGAAAGTAACAGAGCTCTCTTCTCCTGTGACCACCTATCTGTCAATAAGTCAACTGCTTGCCCCTGAGTTGAAGGGATGTTTGTGTGACAGCCTTGCTAACATGCTTAACTTCCTTGTTGTCTTTCTAAGGGGAATTCCAAAGACAGTAAAAAAGTATTTTAATTTAAATGAGAAGGTGTTACATCTGAACTGTAGAGATGAGACAGTAGAGGTTGAGGTCATTAGTCTATTTGCAATTTACATCCATGACAACATGACTCATCCAGAGCCCATCAAAATAGGCTGAGAAGGTAAAGAGCTGTAGAAAGGGGAAGAAGAAGAAGAAAGACATGTCAGAGGAGTGAAGTAGAAGGACTCATCCTGAAAGTATTGTTTTGTTGCCTGTGTACTGCATTTTCCCTCTGCATTCCCAGGAGAGAATCAGAAGGGAGGATTACAGTTCATTTGTTCACATTGAAGGGGCTAGATGGCCCTTTGGAAGTCCACTATGTACTATCCAAAGGAACCCTGTGAAAAAGCCCAAACCCTTCAAATGAGGGTGACAGAGGACAGACTAAGCTGGTTCACCAGGAGGGTAGGAAACTACTGCAAGACCAACCATAGTGTTGATGCCAGGGGACTGTATGACCATTGTGCTGTGGATGTTGCACATTCATTAGAGCCACACTGCATCGTAAATCCCAGCACAGAGCAGCTGCAGCATCAATATGTCTATGAAGAGTTTTTGTGACATACATGCTGGAAAATATATGAAGTCTTTTGTATTTACTCTAGGAGCAGGGTGAAGCTTATTCATGATGTTCAATGTCCAGTGTAGGAGGTCAATAACTAATCAATCCCAATTCGGGGCTAGAAACTGGAATATTTATTGAACATGCGTCTCACAGTTTAAGGGTCTTGAAGGCAGGACATGTTAATGAGGAGGATGGGTTATGCTAACTAGGGGATGGATTATGCTAACTAGAGGATTACACAATTTTCTGCTACAGTTACAAAAGTGCTTAATATTATCCCTTAGCTAGGACCACATAGGTGGAGGAGAACAAAGGGGGTTCTACATGGTCTGATAACATCATCACAACGTCTTTCTATGTCTTGCTGAGGGAGACAGAACAATCAGCACAGCAAAATATTAACAGGTCCTGTGATGAAGTGTCTGGTCCTCAGGTGATGCGATTTCTCTCAGCCCCTGTTGCCCAAGGCCTGCTGTTCAATCCCATCAAACTCCTTCCTGCTGACAGCTGAGTTTCGGTCCTTACAGTCTGGCAGCTGCTGGCAGCCAGTGCCCCTTACCCTTCTTTAACAAAGAAGAACATGCAGTCATTCCCTTCCCCTTGAAGCAGAACATCCCATCACCAGCATAGAGAGCACCATTTCTTCTACATACACTGAAGCACTCAGAAAGGTTCCATCTCTACTTTTACTACATGAATAGCTGTAGTACAAGAGAAATAGCTATCTTTGTTTGCAGGCCCACTGTAAACAATAAGTCTGACAAGCTGAATGAACTGTGATGTTTGGAACAGAAAACTGAAGGAAGTGGTGTTTTGAGACCAGACTAACACTCCTAAATGAGGATGTGGGTTCATGTAGGTCTGTTCTGTCCAGAAAGGCAAATATGTCTACCTTGGAGAAACAGGAGAGCTAGCAGTGGGTTTTAGGTGGTCTTAAAGGTCTTTCACTTAACAAAAATGCTTTGGTAGAGTATTTCTTTCTCTAATTCAGTTTTAAGTGATTTTTCCCACTAAAATCATATGTTTTGCAAGATGTAAACATGCTTGTAGTGTTTATTCTTAAGCTAGTGTACCCAGTTCTCCTTTGTGTGGGAATTGTTTAATTTCAACTGAGGCAGTAAAAATGCATGGATGTAAAGACTGATTCTTATTTATTAGGCTTCCATGACATCATGATACAAGAAATCATATACTTAAGCTTGTAGCTTGCAAGGACATGTGTACATGATGCAACTTAGACATGAGTAAGTGCAATGTTTTAATGAGCTCTTTTGTCTGCAAAACCATTTTGAAGAAGAGTGCTTACATTACTCAGCAATTCGCTGCACTTCAGGCTAAGCAAGGGAAAAAATATCAACATCACAAGAACAGGAATAAAGCAGAACAAATAATGCAATACAAATAATTTAATACTACCATTATGCTGATAATTAACAACAAGAGGACCTAGAAGTACATGATGTACCTACAAGTTAAAAACCAGGGAGTGCAAGATGAGGACAAGATGCAGGCATACAAATGGTGTAACGGTGGATTACAGGCAGAATGATGATTTGACAATTGGGATTATTTTAATATGTTTAGAGATTTTGAAATATATGAACACTAGAAACAGCCTTTGTTTCCAAGAACGTGAAGTGAAAATAGAGGAATCAAAAGAGCTAAATTAAGTTTGGTCCTGGATTTCCAGCACTCCTGCTTTCCTGTCTTCAATCTTCAGAATAAGACAAGATGCCCCATGTAAAAATCCTTTGTCTCTTGCATTTCTTTAAAAAAGTGGTTGGTCCAGTAGGCTTAACAAGAAGACTGAACTCCTTATTCAGTATTCATTGAGTTTTAAGTGGGTTGGAGATCTGGCAGTAGTGGGATGACATTATTAAATGTTTGAAACTTGGCTGGAAGATTGGTGGTAGCATTGTATCAATGTCAGAGTGAAGCCATTGGATTTTGGATATCTCCTGACACAAACTGTACTTAGAAAGAACAGAGAAACTTTAAAGCTATTTAGGATCTTTATGTTCTTCTAAAGATCTGGGGTCAATGTTAGAGGGAAGTAGACATTTCCAAGTTTCTTTCACAGTGTTACACAGTGCAAAAGCGATCTCTTTTCTACACCTACCTTAGATGTGGGGTAAATGATAGTAAATGAGTGAAAGATTAGTGAAATTTTTTTTCCTTCCCTTAAACTTATTCTCCAAATCACAAACCTGGTGAAACAAATCCTGGAATGTGTTGCATGCCTCCCATGGTTATTTTTTACCACATGACAATCTAGTTTGTTCGCAGCAGTGAATGGAAAGTTGGCATTTGACATCTGGGTATTAACAGGCAGTATTCATAGAGCAGAGCAGCCCAACCAAAGCCTGCAGTTCCTTCACAGCGTTTTAAATGACCCCAAAATTATCTTGTTTTACTAGGTTAAATTATAGGATGTGCTGTTGGCCTGTATTTACTACAAAAGGTGAAGAGTTCTGAAGCTTCTGAAGTTCATTGTTCTGAAGCTTTTGTGTATCATGGAAACAAGAAATACTCCATGACAACATATCTCCATACTTGACAATGGACACTGTCATGAAATACCAGAACTGAACTCGTTGTGATTCCTGGAGTGAAGAAACCCACTGAAATAAATCTTCAGCGAAGTGGCATATCCCTTCAGTAATCAACAGTGCATCTGTTCACCTTGGATGAGGAGCAACCCAGTAACTCCAAGGGGTGAAAAATTATTGCTTTAACAGAGCAGCCTTTTTGGGCATGTGGGCCAGGCAGGCAGCTTAGGCCAGTGGATTCTGGATTCCCAAAATGCACAGATAAGAGACACTTGTGCATTTTGGCAGTGTGGCAGCTCTTGGGGGTGAAGCAATGCTGGACAGCAGCCAAGGTATACATGTATCCCTTGTTCTTTGTTCAG